TAACTCTAGTTACTTAATACCAAGAGGTAGATCAGAGTAACAAAGAGAAAATGCATTTCAACTTTATAACCAGTTGTGCTTCCTAACCCACAGGAACCCTGGGACCACATGTTTCAAAATTTTGGAAATTTTATAAATTTTATTTCCTTATAATGATAGATTAATACCAAAGAGCAGATTTCAAAGCATTATTTTATTTTCAGACTATGTACCCCCCTATACCCCTGACCCAGGGGGCATGAAATTAACCATTTTGCTAGATGCACCTTTCTTCATCATAAATATATACCCGGTATACTAAGATCATTGGCATAATACCTAGAAGCCATGGAAAAGATTTTCAAAGAATTCATGCACTTTCATTATATAACCAATAGAGCCCCGCCCTAACACAAGAACCCCAGGGGCCATGATATTTTGGAAGAGGCATTTTTCCTCATCATAACTATGTACATAGTTCATTGGTTTAATACCCAGGAGCAGCAGAGAAGATTTTTTAAAGAATCAATGTATTTTCACTATATAATCAATAGAGCCCCGCCTTAACACCACAACCCCCAATCCTGAGGCCACAAAATTCACAATTCTGGAAGAAGCACTCTTGCTCATCATAAGTATATATTTAGTTTGTTTAATACCTTGGAGCAAAGAAGAAGATTTTTAAAGAATGAATGTATTTTCACTATATAATCAAAAGAGACCCCCCCCCCCTTACACCGAAATCTCTGACCCAGGGGCCATGAAATTTACAAATTTATTTGAGGCACTCTTTCTTGCTTACTTTAACTATCTATTGTATCTTGCTGTATACTAAGTTAATTTATTTGATACCCAGGAGCAGAGGAGAAGATTTTCAAAGAATTAATGTATTTTCACTATCAATAGAGCCCCACCCTAACACCAGAACCCCTGACACAGGGGCTATGAAATTCATAATTTTTGAAGAGGCACTCTTGGTCATCATAACTATGTACTTGGTTCGTTTGTTTGATACCCAGGATTAGAGAAGATTTTCAAAAAAATAATGAACTTTTACTATATGATCTATATAGCCCCACCCTAAAACCAGAACCCCTGACCCAGGGGTCATGAATTTCACAATTTTGGAAGAGGACTCAATGCTGATTCAAATCATTTCAACAGTTTGACTGCATGATGTCCAGGAGTAAAGATGAAGATTTTTAAAGATTGCATTAATTTTAGTGGTTTTGGCCCCACCCCTCAGGCCCCAGGGTGGGGGGGGGCAGGGACCATGAAAATCACAATTTTTTCTCCCTTCACCTATAGATGCAGTATTCCAAATTTGGTTGAAATTGGGTCAGTGGTTCCAGAGAAAAAGCTAAAAATGTTCAAAAGTTCACGACCGACGGACGACGTACGACGACACAGAAACAGTAGTAGTAGGTCACATGAGTTTACTCAGGTGACCTAAAAAGAGAAAGAAATAGAAACGAAAGAAAAAACTTTTCTTTTTTGAAATTTTGTTTGCATCACATTATAGCATTTTACTTGTAGTGTTGAAATATATCAAAAGTTACAACCAGGAAACAAAAACACAACTTCCGGTTATAAGAGAACATACTAAATAAATGTATTTTTCTTTCCTATAAATATTTTTTATAGATAAAGTATTAAAAATGATTTTTAGATATGTTATTTAGACTGCCAATGTCTATAGTAACGTCAAATATTTTTGTAAAATTCACTTCCACCCAGCAGTGATTTCCTGTCCTCAAAAAGAGAACTTAACATACATATATGTCTGAGCGTCACAACTGCTTCTTCCAACTAATTCCAAACTCAAACTCATGCTCTAAAACAATCAATTTTTACATTAAGGCAAAACTACGTGGGTAAAGATGATGTTACAAGCGTTTCACTTCCTCGTCACAGGAAGAGTCAAAGATTTCAAAAATTTCAACTTTTTGTTATGGAAAGTTTATTGCATTTATATTGATAGCATTTTTTTTAATTTTTCAAAATATTTCAATTACCGGAAACAAAAATTTAACTTCCGGTTATAAGAGAAAAATACATAATTTGAGTATTTTTTAATAACAATATATATTATTTATATATAAAGTGTGTGTAACGGTTTTTTTTTTCAGATTCAATATATCAAAAGTTACCTGAAAAATATCTATAAAATTACATGAAAACTTCCGAAAACACAGTTTTTTATTCCTAAAACTAAGAAGTTATCATAGCTAGAATTGTAAACGGTAAGAGAAACACCAAAGAAATAGGAATTGATCATGTTTATCAAGAGAAATCGTTTAAAAGTTAACATAATCCGCAGTCACTTCCGGTTGTCACATGAAGTGATCAAATATATCAAAAAATTCAACTTTTCTTTGTGGAATCTTTCTTTACATTACATTATAGCATCTTTTTGTTATTTCGAGAGATGTCAGTCCCAGTAGAAACAAAAACGACAACTTCCGGTTATGAGAGGAAAAAAATGCATAAATTGAGTATCAGGCCTATCCTCATGGTTTAAATATCTTTTATAAAGAGTATTTGAAATGATTTTAGTGACATGTTATTCAGACTGCAAAAGTCTAAAGTACCGGTAACGTAATAATTAAAATTTAAAATTTAGCGGTTACGTGATTTTTGTCCTCAAAACGAGAAGTTATACATATATATTTCTTAAAATGTAACAGACCAAGGCACTAAACTTGTTAAAATGGGTAACAGATATAGGGTAAAACAGTTCACTGTTCACTTCCGGTCATCACATTGGAAGTGCTAAAAAATTGGAAATGATTTTTTATAAATGTTATTCCAGCTAAAACTGTCATATTCTCTAATAATTTTCCAGGAAGTTGTACCGGCTGTTTGTTTTCCTGTAATCATTGTAAATATTATATGCCTTTTTTTTCATTTTTAAATATATACTTTATATGGTGACTAGAATTATTAAATATGTATTAACCTCCTGGGATTTAAATCAAAGTGAAGTAACAAGAAACAAATATCCAAAATAAATTAATCATTAGATTATTATTATTTTCATGATAAAATTGTATTTTCGTGCCCTACGTATTGTGTTCAAGTTATTTTTCAAAATCTAATTTCTTTAAAAATCTTTTTTTTTTAAATTTGACGACACATCTACAATCATTTCATACATGTATAAACCAAATTTTACAAGCAGCCCAACATCATTTGACTTGGTGAGCTAAATCTTGACGGAAGTTCTTCATTGACAAATCTTACACAACAGGGTCAATGGGTCAATGTCCGACATTGACTACAGCTGGTTCATTAACTCAATCAGACACCCTTTTATACATACTCAGTTTATGATTTTATTTTAAACACAATTGATATAAGTAGATTTAAACAAAATAACAATGAAGAGATGTTTTCTCACTCTCCAAATCCCACCCTTCCTCCACTGTAAAAAAGGACACTTTCAATTGAATGGTTATTATTTCGCACTAACAGTCCGTTTTTTTGTGTCATTTCCTCGGTGTTATAACGTACTTCAGCGTATTTTGATCGTAACATCATCTGTCATTGTGTTGTTTTAATCATATTTCATTGACAAAATATGTCAACGGGATTAGACACAAATTTTTAAACATAGGTAGTACTCTTCCCTCTTCCTTCTGTTCTTTATCTTCTAGTGATAATTAATTTGAAATCAAGTTGCTATAACAAATTATGAATTTTTCATGAAAGTTATCAATTTCTCATTAAAAAGTACTAATTTGCTATAACAAAATGTATTTGCTATAATAAGTTAATTATTAGTTAGAGTATGTTATGTCATTATTTACACACTGAATTGTCGATGAATTTTCCCATTATTTCCCGATTATGACAAAGAGTACACGTCGGGTGTGACCGGTTGGCAAGGGATGCTCACTCCTCCATGGCACCTGATCCCATCAAAGATATTTTAGAGGTCCGTGTTTGCTCTGCTCCTGATTTGTTATGTTTAAGAGATATCAAAAAGGATTGAAGCTCAAATAACTTTTGAAAGAAGCAACTCAGACCTCTAAACATCAGAGATGAGATCAGGTACCATTGATGAGAATGCACTCCCAGTCGACAGGCATATTCTCCAAGTGTTCTTGTCATGATCCTACAAACGGAAAAGCTACTCACCTGATGTAAAAGAGGTTCGTGTTCGCACAAGTCCTGATTTGTCTTGTTTGAATGCTTGAATACTCTTCGTTTTCTCCATATATTTCAAAATTCAGTGAATAAAAAATGGCCTTAGAACTTTAATGAAAAAAGTCAATCATCATTCGACTCAGTGATATATTGTTTCGCCGAAAAAAGTTATTGTATCGACTATAGAATTCGTGAAATTTTGACATTAAAGGATACTCTTTATAATTATTAATCAATTATTTGTCAATAACTTGCCTCATGTTAGAAATTATGCCTGAGCAATTTTCCTGTGTATCGAATGAACAAGGAGACATATTCTCTATATACAGGTGATAAAAGTATATTGCTAATATTGTTACCTAGGTAAGAGAAGTTGAAGACAGAACAGCTGAAGTCATCTTAAAAAAACTCATGATTTTTTGGAATATTAATAGAAAAGGTGCTTATTGTTGTTAACTGGTCCGTTCGTCTGTTCTTCGAATTTTTAAAAATTCCTCTTTCATTTTAAGCAGATATTAATTGAACTTTTGAATATGATAGGAGGTTTCGTGTATGAAATATATGGAGGTAACGAACAGTATTCAATCTCAATCATCATAAAACAATACAAAATTGTTAGAAAAAAGGCAGAGCAAACACGGACTTCCAAAACATCAGATTTGAGATCAGGTGCCATGGAGGAGTGATAATCCCCTGCCGACCGGTTACACAAGTTTGGGAATTTTCAGTTTTATCAAGGAGGGATATAAGTGTAAGAAAGGATTTTTTCTACAAATATCTTTGTCCTTAAACTTCTATTTTGAGCTCAATGATGACCCGTGATTTCCATAATTTATTGTATATTAATGAAAATATAAAACAAAATCTACTCAGAAAATTTACTGACATCGAAAATCATACAAAGATGAATAAAAAACAAAGCTTGCAAGTTTGAATTTTCTTTAAGCCTCGTGATTGGATGAAATTGACAAGGATGAGTCTAAACTGATCAGTAGGCATTCTTTTCCCCCAAACACATGCGGTGTCGCCATGTGAAGAATATGAATTGATTTTCATGGTGGGTCGGCTTACCAAATCTCGGAAGTTTGCAAGAAAAAATTGTGGCTTAACAATTAAATGCCTCGATCAGTGTATCGGCAAAATTGTTTTCGTCCATCCAAGATTGCATGTTGCTGCATCTCTGTGTATGTGGCTCGAGACAGTTTTTAAAATCACGTGCAACTCTATAAACAAAAATTCATGAAGAGATTTACTATTATCAAATTCTCTAATTAAATGAAGACTTTAATTATGATTTGTTAAATCAGAACACGACTCGTAAAAGGAATGTGTCCGCCATATTTGATCGGACTCTCGCTATATCTGAGAACTCCTTTATATAGATCAGCTCACTAAGTCATTCTTCGGTATAATCAGTCGTCACCGGTGTAAAAGGACGTATGATATACAGCACTCATAGCAAAATACTGTTTACTTCTTATTCAGGAGAGTAAGATACCAAAGAGACTTACAACAGTTGCACAGGCTAGTGCAGTATACAAAAAATATGAAATATAAAAACATAAATACACGTAACTGCAATAAAATATAGACAAAGGTGATGCAAGATAACCAGCACGAACACGGGTAGCTATTCCACGCTGATTCCCGTGACAATAAAGCAGTTAGGTGTAACGAATGCTAAGAGCATACCACGGTGTTGATATCATAGATAGTAATAAAGAAAATGGCGTATTCCTATTTTCGAGTCGTGTTCAGCTTTATTTGATGTTCTTATATTTAAATACATCATATTTTTAAAAAGTTGACATTTTCACGGATAAGAGATCATATCACTAAAAGGAAGGTGTCATTTAAGATTTAACCGTGTATACATATGTTTAAAACAAGGTCAGATCAAAGTCATTTTCTTTTCACTTGAAACAAAAATTACTTTTTGCCTTTTACGTTATGGTTCCACATCCGGAAAGGGTTGGTCGATATGACTGAGATTTATGAGGAGACCAAACTCGAATGACGAAAGCTTATTTTTCTGCCAAACACGTTTTAAATCGTCATTTGAACAAACAAATAAACGCATATTAAATATACTAATGCATTAATTACATGCTCCTTTAAATGATTTCAATTCATGTTACAATGAAGCGCAATGAAGTGGTAAAATTTTCCATTTGGACGAACGTTCTAACATGTAAAGTCAATTATTTTTCTGCAAAGGAAATTAGTTGTTTTCTTTTGACAAGCAACATGAGTTACACATTTAAAGTGCTTTTGTAAAACACAAATTGCACGGATTTGTACATAATTATGATTTTATCATGTTGATTGAACAATAACACAATAACACGTGCTTATATTAAATTTCATTGGCTATATATTTATGAAATACCTGTTCTACAGGTAATGCATTAATTACTAAAGAAATGGGCGTGTCTAAAGATAGCTCAAAACGTTCCATCCAAACAGAAAATTTTACCACTTCAATGCGCTTCATTGTACTTAAACTATTGCTGTTTGAATATCGATCAGAGTTATTCTTTGCTTCTCTATAAACAAAATTTGTTTCGAAAAATCACGAGAGTTTGAAATTGTTTATTATTACAAAAAGAATAAAAATAATTTAAAGCAAAATTTCACAAATGATGATAAAAATCACCTGCAGCTGATCCCGTGAGTTAATACCGCGTTATTATAATACCTGCGACAACATGTCACGTTCTCCATACATGTTCCTCCAGATAACAGACATCCTGATAGAAATGATGAAAAAAATCTTGTTAAGTTAAACTTTTATTATTATTAATCGTACAATACTCTCAATACATGAAATAAGCTGGAAATCGGAAAATCTTTTCGCATTGTTGGGGAATAAAAAACTGGATGAATTCAGAAAATAGGATACATTCATATTGTTCGATTGATTGTGTTTCTCTGTGAATTTTGTCTATCAAAATATTCGCTAAATTTTTTGGGGGAAAAATACAAATAACCTTGCAGTTTATTCCATGTTATTATGTACAAAATATAAAAAAAGAAAAAAAAAGAAAAAAAGATGCAATTAATACAAGGAGATAACGAATAGTGTTCAAGCTCAAAAGACCATTAAATAATAAAAAAATCAGGAGCAGAGCAAACATGGATCTCCAAAACATCAGAGGTGGGATCAGGTGCCATGGAGTAGTGGGCATCTCTTGGCGCCCGTCACACCTGTCGTGTGCTTCTATCATGATCGAAAAAAAAAAACACGGAAAAATCCATGGACAATTCAGTGAGTAAATAATGGCCTATCAATATGTATGAAAAAACGTCAGTCAGCATTCGACTTAATGATAAATTGTATTTGATGACAAGGTCATTGCATCGGCCATAGAACGAAATGATGACTTTAAACGAGACTGCTGATATTTTTGTTTCAGCAACTTGTTTGCCAATAATTTACCTCGTTTTAAAAATTGTTCATACGTAGAGCAAGCTCTTGCATATCGAATCAACTGAGAGATATAAACCCCATATGCAGGTGATGAAGGTATGTTACTGCATGAGTAAGGGATGTTGACAATTGAAAAGTTAATGTCACCTCGTTTGTCATAAAACTAGGATGTTAGATTACGGCAAGCCTAAAAGATTTTTGGTCGACCCGATCTCTAAAAACCACATTGATATTGTTAATTAGAAACCTAAGCATTTTTTAAATATCAGTTTCAGAGTACCTATGTGTACGAGGGTTGTCCAAAAAGTTCGTGGACAATGACGTTTTTGTTAAAATAAATGATTCTCTATATATCTATTGTATATCAAAATATTTCTTATGAAAAAGCAAGTTAGAATGATTTAGTTTTTATTGATGGAACTTAATATTTTTGTAAAAAATCGGGGTCTTTAAAGGTTGCGGATGGTGCGCACGGACCAGTCTGACGTCAATCTAATTTCATTATAACGTCAACATTTGGATTTTGAATTTTAACACATGTTCATAGACATACACTACATTTCTTTTTCATGGCGACACACTTCCAAGTGCTGTCAATAATCTTTAAGTATAAATTATAATTTATACCATTTTTGAAATTCAAAATAATTCACAAAATAAGCGTCATCAACATAAACAGTTTGTATACACAAACTGCACAGCCCAGTCCGACTCTGCGCTAGATTTATAACAACGTCATGAATAGAAATCTCCATTTTCAGCAAATTACATTTGTTTTTAAATTCTTTTAGTGTCTTTGAATTTGTACATACCGTTGAAAAATCGTATATACCAATCTCAAATCAATAAACTAAATATTTTTCAATAAGTTTGAGTTGTTTTATCAAAAAGTTTGTCTCTTACTTTGTTTCAACCGTTCAACAACATATTTTTTGATTGAACGCTGCCCCGTTCGGACGGCCGACGTCGCTTTTTCTGTCGAATTTTGACACATATTTGTTACGGTTTTTTGTTTAGTTATTTTAATGTCTATACAGTAAGCGATATTTTAGATATCAGAAAACGATTATAGTCTCTTTATTTATGTTACATATAATTTTCATTAAGTTTTGAGTTGTTTTATTTAGAAAATAATCATTTTAATCCAAACGCTTTATATCAGATTTTATGGCATTTTAACCTTGGTCCGTGCGCACTACCTGCGATCTTTAAAGACCCCGGTTTTTACAAAAATATTAAGTTCCATCAATAAAGATTGAATCATTCTGACTTGGTTTTCATGGAAAATATTTTGATATACAATAGATTTATATAGATAACCATTCATTTTAACAAAAGCGTCATTGTCCACGAACTTTTTTGACAACCCTCGTACAATCAAAAGTTTTCAACAAAATAATTTTGCAAATGACCAATAATAAGGTAAGTATTAATTCTTATTGAAAAAGCAACTGTCAATGATGTCAAAAAGCTTTGACTTAAATATATTTTTGGGAATGGTTGTGTATAGAGTTGAAAAGTCGAAAGTTTTTTGCGCTGTTAATTTCAATATTTCAGAGAGTATAAATATTAAGAATCCAAGGTCTAATTTATGCGACTTCTCTGATATACGTATGTTAAAAAACAGTACTTCTAAAGTTTCTCCTTAACTGCTGTTAATATTTTAGTAAGGAGTAAAGAAAGAAGTTTGGTTGAACATTTACTGGAACCCGCATTGCATCTTTGTTTGTGAGGATTTTTATGTAGTTTAGGTATCCAAAATAGATATGGTAATTCAAATTCATTTTGGTTTTTGTGACTATGAAAATTATCAAGAATCTGACATATGAATTTAAAAGATTTTTCCTTGTGGTAAAAATGATTTAAAGAAAGACAATATCGATTGCTGCATCTTTAAAACAATCCTAATGCGCTCGTTTCTAGCTCTAATAAATTCTAGATATTTCACTTGTACCTTTTGACTTAAAATAAACATCAGTTTAAAGACAAAAAACATTTATACCCTTATTAAAATCAACTCTAAAAGCCAGGACAACAAGCAAAGAAAACACCAAAGTTGTTTGTCACATGGTTTTGCTTTGTTGTTCAAAATTCAATCACTAGGAATGATATCTGAAATGACGAAGGCCAAAATTAAAATAATTTTAAGATATTTCTGTTGTTCAATGCATATATGAATTATAAAACAAATTTCATGCATAGTCAAGAGAAACATAAGATGTTTGATAATAAAACGGGTCTAACCTGTAATGAATCCTTTGCTTCCTTCACTGTGAATAATTGATTTCTTTGTTGTCTAAGGTTTTTATAGAAATCAGACAAAAAATATTTTGACTTGCCCATAACATTTTTGTAAAAATTAAACATAAATATTTTGACTAGTCTAACACATTTTTGCAAAAACCAGACATAAACATTTTGGCTTGTCCATCACATTTTTCAAAATTAAAACGGTATGCTCTAGATACAGTAGCTACTAGGATTGCAACAGTATCTAAGATATCAATGTAATGAGTGAATAAGGGGCAATTAAACACAGAATGGTTGATGCCCCTCGGATTCTACCTGATTAGGCCTGAGGCTCACGACCATGACCTATCGGTAGAAGATGATTATTACTCAAAGGCACCTAATCTCGCCTCTCTAATTCCCGGGGTCTCTGTTTGTGCCTTATTACGTTCACAGATTATTTTTGTAGCTATTCAATTCAGATACAGAATGAACTTTGGCATACACAAAATTTTTGATTGAGTATACTTTTCAGAATATTTCAGATACAGTATGAATTTTGGTACGGCCTTTGAGCACAATGCCACATCAGAAACATGTCGCCTTTTATCTATAAATACCATGTATATAAATACCATGTTACGTAGAGTTTTGCTCCATCTTCATGTAAAAATGACATCAATGTGAAGATCATTGTGAAAAAAGAAACGGCTGTAAAATTCAACATAAATCTTGGAAAAATTTTTACATTGATATTAAATAGTCTATACAAGGTTTATGAAAACAAAGGACTCACCAGAAGTTCAATTTGTAAATTAATGAATTGTTGAAGTGAAGGAAGGGAGATTTTTTAAATGTTTTACTTTAAGGCCCAATTAAAATAAAGGGATTTGTTCTTAGTTAAGCATTTGTGTTGAAAGATTGTCAAGAAATAATCAGAAAAATAGTTGAATATCTGAACATTAATATTATTCTTAATCCCCTAAATTTTCAGTTAATTTTTAACTGTGGGTGGACAGAACAGTGGTCTATGGTCAGTAAAACTGGAGGGTGCTATTTTCAAGATTAACGACTAAAGAAAGTTAATGTGATTTCCTTTATGAAAGATATTTACTTAGTTTGCAAACTCTTTGATCGCCTCATGTATACCCAAAATACCTGTCCGATCAGAACATGAAATAGGAGATCAAAATAGCACCAAGCAAAAAAGATACAGTGATTTTTTTTTTAATTTTTTATTTAGATGTATAAAAGGAGTTTTAGATAAGAGATGGAAACCATTTGTTGTAGAAGAATGACTACATTCATGTAGATAGCCCCAAAAACTGCCTGGATACGGGGTTTATATCTCTCAGTCGATTCGATACGCAAGAGCATGCTCTACTTATGTACAATTTCTAAAACGAGATAAATTATTGACAAACAAGTTGATGAAACAAGAATACCTACAGTCTCGAATAAAATCATCATTTCATAAGTTCTATGCTCGACACATTGGCCTTGTCAGCAAATACAATTTATCACTGAGTCAAATGATCACCAACGTTTTTCATACTAATTGTTCGTCCATTATTCACACACTGAATTGACGATGGATTTTTCCCATATTTCCCGATTATAATAAGGAGCATGATTAATTAAATGTGTTTAAAGATTATACTCTTTTTAGAAAATTTTACATACCTTGAAATATATAAATATTTATTTTGGATATTTTTTTTTTTCAATTATATGTAACAACGCAAAAATTATGTATTTGAATATACATATTTATAAATTTTGAAAATTATGTAATTTTACTGTGTTTTGAGAACATGTCGTTTTATGTGACAAACATATCATAATAAGGGTTACTGTTTATTTTACTGTTCATCATTACGTAAGCCAATAACAGATAGCCATATTATAATGCAGAAAGGTATCGTACAATTTTCAAGAGAGGTGGATTTAATTTGAAAACATTAAGTATATATTAGTGAGTGATCATCGAATAATACTTAAAGGAGAATTTAGTAAAAACTAATACTTATAAGTTCAGAGAACTTTAAAAAAAAAATACTACGATAATTTTATTTACATGAAGTTATTGTTCTGCAATGCGTATTTTACATAAACGACTTAAAACGATTTCAATAAAATTTAAACATTGGACATTATTGAAATTAAAATGCTAATTGTAAAATTATTCATATAATTCTTGTTGTAGTGTTCCCGTTAATCAATGATACAATTAATACTATGCATCCCCCCAATCTAAAACACTATAAGGACTTCCAAAAATCTTAATAACAGAGGCCACTATTTTTTTGTTGTCGGATGGAAATGTATAGTTATCATGTTTTCCCTGGCAAGTTTGCTCCAATACTGTAAACGTATTACATTCGGCAGTGTATTCTTTTTAGCGCTTTTGGCGGAGAGATATTTCTGCTAATTCAAGTACATCGCTAAATGTCTTAAACAATGATACATGAATAAGAATATCAAAACTGCGCTAAATCAAATCTACGCTAACTTGTTTAAAAATCACTTTCCGCTAAATATCGTACACGCTAAATATTATACATTTACAGTATATTTTATGAGCTAAGTACCATTTTGTAAGTTCCGTGCTCACGGTACCTCAAGTTTTTCTTTGAATATTTTATCTGTAAATTAGATTTTGTCGATGTTTTCTTTATTATCTTTTACCTTTAAAGGGGTTTCGATCATCTAAGACGCAGACATGCTATTTTGCATTCGTGACTGGGTTGCTTTTACCTTGTATATGGTACAGTTAAGATGAAGGTCAAGGGCGTAGTCCTGGTCAGGATCATCTGAAATGGTGAGGGGGTCCCATTCGTTCTATAAGGAATAAGCAATTTATAGAAACCAGGGATTTTGATACACTGTGTACCTGAATTACTATTCAGATAAGCATGATAACTATTCTAAACAAATAAATAGACGACCCTGCGACCTTAGTGCGCTTCTGTGTAAAGGTATGCAGTTTTTATTTTGATTGTGTAATGAACAAATCATTATCTTTACAAAAAATATGAAGGAAAAGTCAAAATATAACTGATTTTTGTCAAAAATTGTGATGGACAAGTCAAAATATTTATGTCTGATTATATAAAACCTTAAAAAACAAAGCACGAAATTTTCACAGTGAGCAAGCGATCCATTAGAGGTAAGATTTTTTTTAAATTATTGAATATATAACTCTTCTCTTGATCAAAGATAGAATGTGTTTATTATTTGAAAAAATTGTATGCATTAAAGATATCTGAATATGATGCGGAAATTTATCGTTTGTCTCTTAGATATCATTCTAAAAGATTGAATTTGTGTACAAAAGGAAAAATATGAGACAAACAACTATGGTGTAACATTTGTAACATTAAATTAACTGCAAATAAAAGGTAGGAGTAAATAAGATAAAAACAAACCTTCAAAATTAGCGAGATATTTTGATACGCAAAGATAAAAGTGAAACAAAGCAAACAATAAATAGGTATCATATATTACCGATTTTATTTAGATTAGTTTTTCTTTCACCGTGGTCAGCAGGGGATGCACACTCCTCCATGACACCTGATCCCACCTCTGATGTTTTAGAGGTCCGTGTTTACTCTGCTCCTATTTTGTATTGTTTATGGACTTTGATATTGAATACTGTTTGAGACGGTTGGAATAAATGAAAGTTAGATTTAAACAAGTTTTTTTTTAATCATTTCTAGAAGAGTGTTCTGGAGACACCTGTACGAAATACCTGGAATGTTGTCGCTGGAGATATAACAATGCTGTAGGAAACAACAGGATCAGTTGCAGGTATTTATTTTAATTTTGAAAGAGGGATATCAAACAACAAATTTTATTAAATGGATTTTAAGACATTCCTATAGTTCTCGATAGCTTGAAAGCCCTCAATCTCTAGTTAACGCCTCTTACTTTAAAAGACTTTAAAATAATTCTTTTTGGGGTTTCACTTTGTATAAACAAAATTTACATATTGATGAAAAAATTACCAACGGTAAATTATATATAATGCGTTGGCTGATAACTTATGTCAATTTTTAGAACAAATTGAGGCTGTTGGATGTCATCTTTCTATTTAAAAAAAGATGACATTCAGATTTTAGAAAAAGAAGACAACACCAGCAACGCTTGGTTCAAGGGAAGAGAAATGACTTGATCTGACCTTAATTCTTAAATGAAATAGCATCACTTATAGTGATATGATTTTATGAAATCTCTTAAAATTCCACTACTTTGTCACAGGTAATGTATGTAAATGTAAGAAGAATACATCGTAAGTAGGGCCTGAATCCATTTAAGGATAAAATGTTAACCTTATAATGTCCTTTGTTTTTAGTGATGTGCATGAATTTAGAGGCTGTATCGAGCGGCAAAGACAGAGATGCAGCAGCATGCAATCCTGGTTTGACGAGAACAGCTTTGCCGATACACAGTTCGAGATCTTTCAGTGTTAACCGCCATATTTCCAAATCAGAGAGAAAAAGGTGGCCCACCACAATTCAGTGTATTTTATTGATACACCGCTGTTCCTTGAGAAATAAAAACATCTTCTGATGACACATGAAGCTATTCTCACTCTGATCGCGAAACATTACAAAAATTCAAATGATTAGTACACTTTGTTCATTTTTGGATGTTATTGAAATTTTCCAATGTTATTAAAGGTTCTGAAAACATTTTGTAATATATTTTCTTTGATCTATACAATACGATATTAAGTTATGCTGTGTAGGAAAAAAATATACCTATTTTTCTACGCATCTTCAAAACTTTTTACTTAGTTTTTATTTTTAAAAGATATCACGTACATTTGAAATACAAATATAATAGCAGGCGATCGTGAAAAACTTCTTACAAGAGTAATCAATTCGAAAAACGAATTCAGCCAGAGATATACATATATACATTTTTAAAAAATATATATTTAGTTCCTATCCTAAAATTTAAATTTGATCAACGAAAAAGGCCACAATATTTTTAAAATTAACTTTAGTCGAATTCTTACATTGTTCAGCTAAATATGCAATCTTTTCA